GTCGATATGGTTAGATTTACCTATGCCATATTGCATTTTGTTTTCTACATATCTCGCGTTTTTGTTCCTCTGTTTCTCGTTTATTTCCTTCTTTTATTAAATGAATATTTTCTAGTGTTTCATTTTACTTCCTTTAATGACTTTTTAATTATTTTTTTTGAGTTATTTTTCTTGTGATTGCTCTGGAGCTTACAAAATACATCTTATCAGAATCTGTTTCAGATTTATATTAACCTAGTTCCTATGACATATACAAATCTTACTCCTAGGTAGCTCCATTCCTTTCCCTTTTTGTGTGTTATTATTGTTATACATATTATGTCTATATATCTTAAAACCCAACAATTGTTATAATTATTAATTTATAAAATCTATGTATTTTTTTAAAGACAGCAAGTATATATTTACAGAGCATCTTACTAAACTTTCTTATTTAGCCTTTCTAGAGCTCTTTGTTTTTTTCCTGTGGATTTACTGTCATTTCTTTACTTTAAAACAGCATTGTTCTCACCCATCTCCCTTGTGCTATCATTGTTTAAAAAATTACATTTCTGTATGTTATAGGCCCAACAGTATATATGTATATGTATGTATACAGTCTTGTATAATTTCTTTTAAAATAAATAAAGACGAGAAAGGATTTAAAAAAAAACATGTAATTCTACTATCTTTTGTAATTACTTAATATTATGGACTGAATTGTGTTCCCCCAAAAACAGGAGTAGAAGGTTCAAGCCTAACCTGCAATGTGAATGTTTGGAAATAGGGTCTTTAAGGAGGTAATTAAGGTTAAATGAGGTCATAATGATGAGGCCCTAATCCTCTAGGACAGGTGTCCTTATAAGAAAAAGAAGAGACATCAGAGATCTCTCTCCCTTTCTCTCCACATGCACAGAGGCTACAAGGAGAAGGCAGCTGTCTGCAAGCCAGGAAGAGAGTACCCACCAGAAATCAAATTTTCCGGTACCTTGGTTTTGGACTTCTAGCCACCAGAATAATGAGAAAATAAATGTCTGTTGCTTAAGTCACCTTGTCTGTGGTATCTAGTTATGGCAGCCCAAGTAGACAAATATATCTCCATAATTACCTTCACTAACACTCTTTATTTTTGCATGTAAATTCCAATTACTGTCTCAGGTCACTTGCTTTCAGCTTGAAGATATTTAATATTTCTCCTTTAATATTTCTTGTAAGCAGGTCTGCTAGCTTTGATTTCCCTCAGTTTTTGTTAATAAGGGAATGTCTTTATTTTGCCTTGATTTTGAAAGATAATTTTGATAGATATAAGATTCATAGTTGGCAATTTTTACTTTTGGTTCTTTGACTACATACATGGTCTCACTGACTTCTACACTCCATCGTTTCAGATGAGAAGTCAGTTTATGTTCTAACTGGGCTTCCCTTGTATGTAGTGAGTCATTTTTCTTTTGCTGCTCTCAAGATTTTCTTTTTGTCTTTGTCTTTCAACATTTAAACTATGATGTGTCTGGGTGTGGACCTTTTGGTATTTATCCTGCTTGGAGTTCATCAAAGTTCTTAGGTGTGTAGGTTGTTTCTCATCATATTTGGAGAGTTTTCTGTCACTATTTCTTTGACTATTTTGTCCAGCCTTTTCTCTCCTCACCTTCTGATATTCCCATTACACATATGTTGATGTACTTAATGGTGCCCCACATTTCCCCGAGGCTCTGCTCATTTCTCTTCATTCTTTTTCTCTCTGTTTTTCAGGCTGAATATTCTCTTAGATTCTATTAATCTGTCATCAAGTTTGCTGATTCTTCTGTCAGCTCAAATCTACTGTGGAATCCTTCTAGTGAAATTTTCATTCCAATTATACTTTTTAACTTCAGAATTTTTATTTGGTTCTTTTTAATAACTTCTATCTCTCCTAGCTTGGAACTACCACGCTATGAGCCAGCTGGGTGGAATGATCAGGGCCCCAGTATTCTCACTCTGCAGTGCCTGGTGTGGAGTCTCCACCATACAAGTGGAGGCTGGATGGGAAGAGAGAGCCCTGGTCTATCTGAGTCTGCCTAGAATAAACCTTCTGCAGCACAGGGCAGGGACAATGAGAAATGCCAGCAGCCTACCACTTCTGGGGTGAAACTCTAGCCCCAGACTGGTAGTTTGGAAGAGAGTGAATCCCCACTTTCTTGGCTATGCACATCCAGGGTAGAGCTTCTATAAAACAGAGTTGGGGGTTCATAACAAAGCTCAAATGTCATAGGCTCACTGTTCTTACTGAGATTGAAATTTTCTTAAATTAATGTTTCTTCATTTGCTGTATGCTCTTAGGACAATTTCCAGAGACTGTAAATGAGTGTTTAAATTGTTTTCCAGTTAAAGTTTTGTTTTGCTGGAGAGGAGGTCTACGGAGCTGTTTACTCTGTTGTTCTGGAAGTTCCACCTCCCTTCTGCTTTATTCTGAACACACCTGCCTTAGTTTATTCTACTAGAAAAGAAATATGAAAAAGAACATTCTTGAAATGTTATAATACTCTTTACCTTTGTATCCATAAACACAGAGGCACAATCTGATGGCCTTGCCCAAGTTAGTAAGTAGGTTGGAATGTTTTTTAAATTTATTTTACCAGAATAATTTTGGAGTTGTAGCTGGTGTAGAAGAGGAAAAAGGGAAACCTTTGAAATACTTATCACCAAGAATATTTTGCTTTTGCTAAAAGGATGGCAGCTAAAGCAGAACACCAATGTCAGTAAATTATTAACATGAGATACTTTTGTCCACTCCTTGCCCCCAAAGAGCCTATATTTTGCAGAGTGTCCAAAAAAAAGGACAGCTAGAAAATGCTTACCTGTTACAGACCCAGTTTAAGTATTTGGTGGAGGGGAATGAGAGAAACAACTCGGCTACCCCAACCCTTCTCCTCCTGTTTTGTTAAATAGAGTTCATCTTCACTATACATAATCTCTCCTACTCCCAACATAAAGTCCATCTAAGCTTGGACTCTAGTGGACATCTGATATGTAAGGCCTCCATCACATCTCCCTTCTGTTCTTCATTTTGTCAATGAGAGAGTCAGTGTCTCCAACTTAGAATAGAAATGTAAGCATCTCCATCTTGTGCTCCAAAACTTCATTACTTAGGATATCATCCTACAGCAACAATATTATGTACAAGGACAAGGTTACCACCCCAGACCACATTGCCAATTTAGCACAAAATCAACCTCTAGTGAGAGTCACACAATTCAAAAATGAGCATCAGCTGTGCTGATGTTTCCATGGGAAATGCATTGGGTATTCCAACTTCTAATACTAAATTTCTCTGGTTGAAGTCAAAGCAGAGAAAGAAAAGATACCGCCTTCCTTTCCTTACCTTCCCACCTGCCAGGTGATGAAATCTCTAGGCAGGGACTGCTGAGATCTGTGGCCCCAGAGGGGCAAAGGCTGAGAAATGGGGACAGAAGATAGAGGTCCATGAACAAAGCATGCCAGGGTGCCAGGAGGAAAAGCTTTTGACACACTAACACCTATGCAAACAGGGAGATCAATGAGGATTGGGGCTATAGGTTCTAAAATGATGCAGAGGGAGGGGCTTTTGACACACTAACACCTATGCAAACAGGGGATCAACTAGGATTGGGGCTATAGGTTCTAAAATGATGCAGAGGGCAATATGGGGCAGAAGAAGGAGAGTTAAGATATAACAGCTACCCTACAAATGAGTGCTTTCCAGGCTGTAGGAGCTTTACACATCAGTACATCTGTAACCTGCACAACACATACAGAGTGGGCACTATTATTAGGAGACTGAGGAACAGAGGGGCTAAGTAAGTTGCCTAAGTTGATAGCCAGTGTGAACCTTGCTCTTTGTCATTTTGTCCTCTAGCTCCCAGAAGGATTTTTCCTGTTCCAGTCCTTCATGCACAGCTATTTATGTAACAGACCTTGTGGACAAAATGGCTCAATACCAATTCCAGTCTTTAACTGTGTTCAGAGGCTAGAAATCTAGAAACAGCACTTCCAAGAGCCTCCTGGAGTTGGGTTATGGATGTCTAGATGCCAATTGCATTTTGCAAATAAGAAGTACTCAAATAAGATTAGAAAGGTGGGAAGTAAGAAAGAGGCTGCCTTCCTATGCACAGGGTTCCTGCAGCTGTGCCCTGTCTGGCTTCCTGAGTGGCAAGAGATGGCCGTGAAGACAGCAGTTCTGAAATTCTCCTATTATTGAGCCGCACTACAGCAGTCTGGGCTTAACACTCAGCCATTCCACTGGAGGCCTCCTTGGGATACCAGCCTGGAACCTGCTCTTGCAGCCTTTAACAACTCAGAGTAGCACCTAATTACCTATATGCAAGTTTCTGTCTGTTTATAACATCTGTAGTGGTGTCTAGTTCCTGCCTTGAGCCCTGACTGATAATCTTCTCTTCTTTCCCCTCCCTTCCCTACATCAGCCACTGGGAGAAGAATAATGGCAGGCAGTGAGGAGGAGACAGAAAAGAATTTGGGCAAATTCATTCATTTATTTGCTCATTCACCCACCATTTACCACACACCTATAATGCTCTAGGGACCGGGCCAGACATGCCTCCTCTCCAGCCTCCATCCCTTTCAGTGACTCATACCGGGACAGCATACTAGGACACAGAACAGAAGGGAGGGAGGAGTTTGTGGGTTTGTGTATGCCTTCCTTCTCTATGGAACGCTCTGCTTCCTTTCCTTGTCTATTTGGCAGGTTTGTAAACACTGCCCAGATACCACCTTCTCTCCAAAGCCAGCATTTGCACCCAGTCAGCTGACGCCAAAGCCCCTGCACTTGACCACCAGGGAGGAGGAAGGGTAAGGTTGGAAAAACAAAGAAAAAGAGGTGACATGGCCCAGGTAGGAGGACAGTTCCGTGTAACACACATATATAAGCCGAGGGCTCATTTATTAAACTGCAGGCCACATATCTCTGCCAGAAGGAGCCTCTGCATTTCCCTAGGAGAAAATTTATCTTGGGGGATGGACGATCCTTATGCAATGTGTTGCCCACTTACCTTGGCAAATAGGGAATGAGTAGAAACCCGAGCGGCAGGCGTCACAGCGAGGGCCCTCCACACCAGGGTGGCATAGGCACCTTCCATGGGCGTTACATATTTCAGGGAGGACGCCCTCCAAGTTACAGTCACATCCTGAGAAGGAAAAGAGACTTTCAGGGGCAGTCTCCCTCCTCCATTTCTTTGTCAAGCTCTCCCTTACCCCAAGTTTCCATCATAGAAACATAGATAATAAGTTATCTATGGCTTACAGACATTTTTAACCCAGAAGACTATATCTTAAAGAGAAATAAAACAAATATTCAGGAAGGGTCAGAGATGCCACTAAGAAACATCCAGAGTGGGCCTTAGTTTGCAAAATAGCTACGATCTCTTAATATCTACCCCCATGGAAACATCTATTTTCCCCCGAATCTGATACGTGTACAATAAAAACTTCAACTTAATAGATTTCCGTCTAATGACAATCTTGAATTAAACATATTTCTACTTTGCATTTTGTACCAGAAAAGAAACGAACATAAATTTAGCCCTACTATGTGCCAAGTGTGGCTTTTAGGGGCTTCACTTGGGTGGCTTCACTTAATCCTCCAGGCACGAGGCCTTTCCGATCCTCCAGGACTCACGCTGCTTCTGATCCCACAGACAAGTACTTTCTCACCTTTGCTCTGTCTGTTCCCTTTGTCTGTAATGCCCCTCCCCTGGTTCTTCCTCATCCTTCAGGTCTCAGTTCAAAGTCAACTCCTAGGAAGGTCTTCCTCAACCAATTGTGCAAGTGGGCTCCCCACTTCCTTTCCTAGTCTCTGTCTTAGCTGTGTTTGTCTTTCACAACCCTTTAATTACTGAAATCACTTCCAGGCCTCACAACTGACTTTAACCAGCCAAATGAGGTGCAAGTGCTGGGGGATTTCTGAGCCCAGGTCACAACAGCCTTTGCGGTTTCCATTCTCACTTTCTGGGAACCCTGACACTGCCATGTGAGGTACCCAGTGCGGCCTCCTCGAGAATGAAAGGCCAAGTGGAGAGAGATGCCCAGCTGTCCCCCAGCATACCCTCCAGCAAGTCCAGCAGAAAGATGGCCTGACCAACCCACACAATTGTGAAAAATAACTGCTGTTGTTTTAAGCCACTACGTTTTAGGGTGATTTACTATGCAGCAACAGATGAGTGAAACACTTATCAGACTGAACATTTAGTGAGAGGTTACCTCAGGGCTGCCAGTGCCATCATATAGTATTTCTCAATAAATAAACATTTCTTAAAAAGACAGGGCTTTTGTTTAACTTCATTATAAATGAATAAAAAAATCCCATAGTCAAGGAAGAGCCCTATAAGATAGGCAAGAACTTTATAGTTGAGGAAAAAGATGCTCAGAAAGGTTAATTAACTTGTCTAAGGTCACACAGCCAGAAAAGCAGAATCAGGATCTGATCCCAGGTCTGTCTGATTCTAAAGCCCATGCTCTTTCTATTATACTAAAAATACAAGCTGATAACCGATTTTAAAAGCCACATTCAAGGTATGTCCTAGAATAGTATATATACATAGCCAAACCAATCTCATATTTAAAACATCTACATTTCTATCAAAAACATTAGCATCTAAATTGCAACATGGTCCCATGAGCTAGATCCTGAAAGACTCAAAGATTTGACTAGTTTCACCTTATTTATCAAAGAAGGGAGGGCTTAGGCATTTTGGAAACATTTTCTTCAAGGGATAAAATAATAGATATTCCCCTTTGCCCTAAACCCTTAACCTTTCAGAAAAAAGGTTAATAACAAAGTTGTGGAACTCTTTTTCCTAATACAGTAATTAACAAAAAGATCATGGTAAATCAGAACAACTTTTGTGGTCTTTACATAATCCCTAACTTGTTCGTACCTAAATCAAATGGTCACCTAATTTGGCAAAAAGGGCATCGGAGTGTTCAAAGGCACATTCATCACAAAAGAAGCCTTGGAACCCAGGCTGGCATTAACACTGCCCTGACCCTGCATCCCAGCTCCCATACAAGTTCTCAATACCACAGCCCTATGGTATTGAGAAAGGAAAAGTTTTACTGTCAAATACAGTCTTAGCATTAAACAAGGCATTAGAATTAAGTAAGAAACTTGAACTTTATGTTGGCATTGAGGTCCAAGGAATCCTAATTTACAACCATTTGTAAACAGAAAGAAAACATGTAGTACCTATTTTTTTTAAATTCTGTTTCTGAAATTCACTTTTCAATATTTTCTTTTCCTTGTCTAGCAAGTAGTCCCACACAGTGCCAGAGCCAAAAACCTCTGGGCCCCTCACCTTCACCTCCCACACCTATCACCAAGTCATAGTGACTAGATCTCAGGAAAGTCCCTGAAATCCTCCTCGCCTTCCAAAGTTCCAGAGCCTTCCTTCAGAATCTCTTCCTTGTTACTTCAATAGCTTTCTAACCAGGCCGTCTGTTTCCCATCTTGCCCCTTCCAATTCATTTTCTCTCCTGGTGACAAGAGTGATCTTTCTTTTCATATCACTTTCCAGTTTAAATTCCTCAAAAGTGACCGAATGCCTTCATGACACAACTCACAGTCCTTGACGTGTGTGAAATAATAGATCCTTTAAAATCTTCCAGGCTGCCAGCAGCCCACACAGCACCTTTGCCCAACTAGAAAAAGATGTCCCTTCCTCAAGATGCTTTCCTGTCACTTGCTATACAATCATTATGATAAATCTGCATTGCCCTCAGTGGGTATGGTGTCCCCTCAGATGAGGTGCAGCTCTGCCCTGTACCCTGCACATCTGAGCCTGGCTGCTCACTCTCATCTTTTCCTCTCCTCTTCCCACCCCACACTTCACTTCTTCTACTTCTTCCTCCTTCCCCCTGATTCAGTCTCAGTGACCTACCTGCCATATTTTCTCTTCTATCCCCATGTTTTCTCTTAGCTGCCCTTCTGCCTGGCTAAGTCCTTCATGTTCCAAGACTCAGCTCAGATGCCTCCTCCTCCTGCTTTAGGAAAGCCATTCTATAACCTCTCCCTTCTCCCTCCCTCCCTCCTTCGTTCCCTTCCTTCCCACCTGCTCTCCCGCCTTCCCTCCCTCCCTTCTGTTAGGGGCTGTAGGATATGCCTTCTATGCTCCCATGGCTTTGTGTTCTTGGCTAGTCGTAGCATTAACCTGCTGCTACAACTGTTTACCTGTGTGTCTCCCTGAGAGCTTCCAGGGAGCAGGGACTGTGCAGCTGCCTTGTCCATGCTTAGTACAGAATAGGCACTTACGAGAAGTTCGATGAATGAAGCATATGCTAAATATTCAAGACTACAGTTCTCTTCAGTATACACAATTCCTTGAATTCTATTTTATTGGCGTCTACACTGAGCTTCCAAACAGATAATTTGTGTGTCTTTCTCTAAGCCTTATAGGGCAGGTCTCCATGCTAGTAGTGACTGCCCCACCCTGCCAGGCAGAATAAATGCCCAGCCTGAGGAGGAGGGACACAGTCAGGAAAGCATGCCCAGTGGCTGTCACCCCGACCTCAGAGTTCTCATCCTTAGTTTCAACCACACAGACATCAAAACTTTGGCAATGGCAAGTAGCTCCTAACAAAGTGATTGGAGGAATCAAAACCTTTCCACTCTGTTTGTCAAAAGACTCCCTGAACAGCCATGTCTTCAGGCCAATTGGGCTGCTTTACATAACCATCCCGAGATCATATCAAGCACCTAGAGTCTTTCTGTAGCTGTTGATTTTGCTTGTTTCTGCTCTTTGTTTGAACTTGGAGGAATAAAAGTGGACATGTGTCTGTAGGCTAGTATCCCTCTAGTGTGTATGTTTTGCGTATGCTGTCATGTTCAAAAGGAGGCCTTGAGAGGTGTCAATTATATATTGACTTCCTGAAAATAAATCTTAAGTAGATATAACTAATCACTTGGACCCAGAAAACCTTAATAATATTCAGGGTCATAAAATACAATGAGAAACCTGCAAATGTTCTGATCTGAAAAACTCTTCTGTCCTTTTGCTTCAAAGCTTCAGTGTCTGCAATTGAGCATATGGATTTTCTAGAGCAGTGGTTCTTGATCTTGGCTGCATATTGGAATCTCCTGGTAAAACACCATTGCCTGAGAATTGAATCTGAAATTCAGAGATTCTGATATACTCCCAGGATCTGTAAATTATGGCCTAAGCACCAATCCATCTCTGCTTTAGTAAATAAAGTTTTATTGGAACACAGCCAAGTTCATTCATTTCCACATTGCCTGTAGTTGCTTTCCTGTTACAGCAGCAAAGCTAAGTATTGCAACTTTGCCTACAAAGCTGAAAATATTTACTATCTGAACCTTCATAGGAAAGTTTGCCAACCACTAAATGGAAATTTTTACTAACTAGAAAAGTGGATCTTAACAAGAGACATATGTCAAAATCATGTGGAAAACTTGTTCAAAATAAAAGCCTGGGCTTCACCTCTGGAAATCTAGATTAAGATCTGGGGTGATACACAGGAATTTATATCTTGTAAAAGCAAAGGCTTCTGAAACACAGTCCTGTCCAAGAACCACTGTATTAGAAGACATGAAAGCATCAATGCGTCTTAAAGAATTAAAATTCTTGGGGATTGAAGGGTGCGCAGTATTACCCAGTACCGTACATCTTCTGGCAGTTGAGATATTTGTGCTTCTAATGCTCACTGCCAGGAGTTAAGCCCCAAATTGAGTGGGTTCTTTTGGTAATACATTAATAAAAGATCAGATTGAAGTGGATGTCTGTGCATTCAAATTCCCAAATAAGTCTAACTGCACTAATTAAACTTCTTTTCCTTGAGGCTGTGTTCTAAGGCTTCCCTAATATTGTGTAACAGATGTCTGAACTTCCCTTCAAGTTCAATTAAATTTCTGTTCCTGAAGTCGTCACCAGTCTACTTGGGGAGAAAAAGAAATTGAATAAGAAAGGGATTACTATAAACAGAAAGTAAGTAGGAGATCTAAAACATTCTTGTGGCAGAAGACCAGAGATGTGCATTGTAATCAAAGTTCAAAAGCCGAGTTCCATTCTAGTCAACTAACAAGCATTTAAAGAAGCACTTGATTATACCCGCTATGGGCAGGATAGCACGGTAGGCCCTGTGGGGATCAGAAACCAAGTCAAGCAGAGCAGCTGTCTCCCAGTGACCAGGTGTTCAACGCAAACTTAAGACAGTGCCCCACATATCGCATAGTGCTATGGTTTATTCATAGGAGCCGGGTACAGGTAGGGCAGAAGCAGGAAACAGCATGGGAAAGGAAACTGGATCATGTTAGTCCTGAACTCAGGTGAGCCTTTTGTGCTGCCCCCAAATCCTAAGACATTCCCCTTCACTCCCCCACATTCTAGAGTGATTTTTTCAGATCTTCTCTCTCCTCAACTCTGAGACCTCCTCCCATCCTCACTTTCTGACAGAGCAAAAAAGGAAACGACCAGATGAAAGTGTCCCCCAACTTCCACCACTGCATCCGCCCGCCCATCCCCTAGCACACGCGCTCCTCCTTCTCCTCTACGGCCTTTCCTGTCTCAATAGATGGCAACATCTCTCTCGCTTACTCCATCCAAAAGCCTTGGAGTCGCCAAAAGTATCCTCTTTTTCTCTCTCATATCCCGCTTCCAGTCCCGAAATCCCCCAGCAAGTCCTGTCAGTTCTATCTTCAGATTATGCCCACAATCTGTCCCCTTCTTGTTGCCTCTGCTGAGACCTCCTGGGTATGAGTCACCATCATCTCTTCCTTATGGATTATGGCAATGGCTTCCCATGACATCTTCCTGCTTCTTCTCCCCCTACAATTGGTTTTCAACACAATAGCCACAAAGATCCATATACAATGTCTTTTCTGGGTGCAAAACTCTCCGTGGCTCCCGTCTCATTCAGAGGAGAAGGTTAAATCTTTGCAATGGCTGAAGAGGGCCACCATCTGGCCCCCGGAGCTTCCCTTTTTCACCCCTCTCCTCTTCGTTCACTCTGCTTTCACACCCCTTGTCTCCCTTTTATTCAGTGAATACTCCCAGCATGCTCCTGCCCCAGCGACTCTGCCCTTGCTCTCTCTTGTGTCTGGATGCTTCTCCCCAGACACCTGCAGAGCTGTTGTAGGACGCTGATTGCTAATATATCTTCATAATGGCTCCCTTCACTCCCTGACTCACTCCCTTACTTATATATTCATCAAAGTTAAACCAAAATAGAGGTTATTTACCTTTTATATTTCCAGCTACTGGATCTTCTGGACTGGGAGTAGAAATAGGGAAAATGGGAATTCCTAGAAAAATAGTTTATTAAAAATACAGAGAAGGATTAAGGAGACAGTAAAATAACATTTTAAATTTCACTACCTGGAAAGAAGCCCTCTTTAACTTAGTGAAAAGTAGCATGTGCAGATCACTTTAAAGAAAGCCAATATGGCTATATTTAAAATGCATCTAGTAATTGAAACCAGACTGGTTAGACATTCCGATTTGTATAGTAATGAACAGAATTGGATATTTCATGCTCATAATATCTAAGTCTCAGTCTAAGCAAGAATAAGCTTGGTTCTTTTAGCATAAATTCTATAGTCTCAGTCTATAGAATTGGATATTTCATGCTCACAATATCTAAGTCTCAGTCTAAGCAAGAATAAGCTTGGTTCTTTTAGAATCATTTTTTTTTTTTTATTCAATGTAAAATTTTTAGACTAGCTTTTCATTTTTTATTCAATGTAAAATTTTTAGACTAGCTTTAAACATTTTTTTTTTCATTGAAAGTGGGTGGTAGTTTAATAATTACCATGGGACAACAGGTGTGAGTCAGGACATAGAGTCTCCTTATTCACATGTGTCCTGCCCCCAGATCCTCTCAACTCAACTGCTTTTTCTGAGACTGTAGAGTTGTGAGGGTGAGAATGGGCAAGAACTAATGTAGCAATGGGGAGGCTTTGTCTTAAAATATTTTTGTCCTTACACCAAAGTGCAGTTTTATACTGTTGCAGAACAGAACCACGGTTCTTGTCATAATTTGCAGAGCCTATTTCAAAGACTCTTCTGCTTCATGTTCTAACAAATATATATTTTTTTCTCTCCAAGATGCCAAAATGTTCACTTAGATCATTGCAGTGGGGTAAAATGGGGACCCGTAATAATTTGGTTCATTGTACAGTGGGAAAGAGGAAACACATCCTCCTGGAAACCCAAAACATAACATACACTATATGCAAATGAACATCTGGAAGCCCGTGACATTTTTTCTAGGTTAATGATGAAAAACCACAAACGTGGATTACTATTAAGTTGAAATTGCCAATATTTGACCCTTCTGACCTACTGAAATGGTGATGTCTATCGTATAACCTAACACTTTGAAGATAGATAACACTATAAAACATACAGATATGAGTTTAATATTCCAAACTTCTGCGAACACTTTCACATAAATACACCTACCTTGCCCCATTACTGCCTCCCCTCCACACACCCCACCCCATCTGCCATGCCCTCAGGTGTTAATGTACAAAGCCCAGCATGTGCCAAGAAGGGAGGCCTCTCCTTCTACAATAGTACTTACTCAAGCAAAATGGGAAATTGTAGTATCCGACTGCACACTTCTCACAGTTGTCGCCATGGAAATTTGGCTTGCAGATACAGCGGCCTGAGCTTTGCTCACAGTCATCTGCATGCTCAGAGTTACAGCTGCAAGCTAAGAGAAATTCCAGTTTTCAAAGGTCAGTCCTTCGCTGCAGTTAATAAGACAAATATGTCCCAATACTTCACGGGCAGTGCTTAATACTTTATCGTTGGTCTACGGTCATTCTTGAAAGGGCACATCCTTTTTACCACTTTAAATGTGGTTGATGGTTCCCACTGACTGAACCCCATGGGCCCTTAGAAATGAGCTTTAATGACATCCACACTGAGATGTTCTTGAGAATGTAGTTTATTACACTGAGCACTGCTCAGCTCACTGAAAAAGAGGCAAAGCCTGCACCAACTACAATCAGAGGGGCTGGGTGAGTGGATGTGTCCTGAAGCTCCTAGCAGGTCTGTTAGGCACAGTCGCTCCTGGTCATAAGCCAACTGTGAATATCTACACAGTGGTCATCATTACACAGTTGTGATGCAGACACAAGTGTGGGATGCCCAGACATGGATATATGATCTGTGGACAGCATAGCAAGATTGCACCCATAACACAAATGCTAGATTTGAGTATTAACGACATACTAAGGCAGTTCTTGCAACCAATACAATTATTAGGTTTGCATTTCAAAGGGACATACTTGGAGTATAAAAAGTTTGGTAACACCTTCATTTGGGAGTTTCCCTTGACTTGGCAGGTCCTCATTTTGGACACTAAAAATAATATCATAGCTCAGCTAAGTGTATGTCCCATGAGGGACTGAGAGACTGGAGAAGCTGTGAGCAACAAGGACCCTCTCCTCCCAAGCTGGCTTCTCCTGCCGTCCTTTACTTAATTTGTTTAGGATTTATGCTAAGCCTCTACTATCTCTATGAGACCACCTCAGTGACAAAAAAATAAACTAGAAAAGTGATGGAAAATTGAGGTTCCTAAACAAGGTGGGACTGCATTCATGCTGTCTGTTTTCTTTAGTCAATGCTTATTTTTTGTGGGCACAAGAAAAATGATGGTCATATTACTTCGTGGGATGATGTGGAAGGGGGAGGGAAAACTAGATCATGGTTATCTAAAAATGTTCTAGAGAGAGATAGATCAGAATCCACACACTCTTTGGACTTTGATGCCCTAAAATGTTAATGATATGAAGAATGAATTTGGGGGATGGTGGGCACAGAGGCCAATTTCAGGGCTGGAGTTGTTTTCCAACTGTGGCAGCCAAAGAATAGAAAAGAACCGAATAGTTTACACATGTAGGGTAAAGTCCATAACCTCACCTCTGACGGTTAATTCTGCAAAGAAGAACCAGTGGCATTTTTGTATATAATGGATATAGTACGGCACAGTGGCTCCTAACAGGTATGAATTACATCCTGGATCTACCAGTTATGGTTTTGTCACCCAGGCTAAAATATTTAACTACTCAGACCCTTTGGTTTCCCTATATCTAAAAATTAGAATAATAATACAATATTCTAAATTTATTATGATAATTCAATAAGACATTTCTGAAAGTATCTAATGCCTTGCATATAGCAAATGTTCAATAAATTGTAGCTATTTTAAATATTATGACTATTATTAAATCCTTGTAAGATTTTTACTATGTTGTCTTGATACCACTTTTGACAAAAATTTGAAATTACTGGAGATCATAGAAACGTCGAAACAACAGGAAACAGAAGAACTGACATTTGTTGCAGGCCTATTATGTGACAGGCCCAATGCTTAGTATTTTCCTAGTGACTTTTGAGGACATTTTATTTAACATAGGGAATATATCATCATTTCCATTTATATATAAGAAATCTTTAGAGAGATGTAACTGTCTAGGTCACATGGTAAAGAGTGAACCAATAATATGAAGGAGAGAAAGAAAGGAATCTGATCAGAATTTAGCCTTATGACCTTCTCAAAGCAGGATACACAGTCTAAGATACACTGGATTGAAATGAAACTTACGGATGCAGCCATCGGGGGCAGTAGCTGGAACACCGTAAGGGCGGTAATAACCCTTAGCACACTTTTCACAGTTTATACCAGCTGTGTTATGCTAGAAAAAAAGACAAAAGAAACTTAGAGGGTATAGTACTGGAGAAGTCTTTATTTTGTGCTATTCATCCAGAGAAATAATTATATCATATGCAATTGTAATTTCAAAGTTACTAAAAACAAATAAGCTTTGACCTTGAGTTTCCAAGATTTACCACAGGACACTGGCATAAACTTGGGTCTGGAATTTTTTTCCCATTGGAAAAGGAAATGAGAGCAAATTCCACAAACTGTATAGCCCAGGTTTTCCCCCTACTGCAGAATTTCCTTACTGAAGCACCTGATATTTGAGTGAGAAAAAAACCTCAGAGGACTACTCTTCATAGCTTCATTCAGAAGAAGTGATGAATGGATAATAAATCACCCTTGGGTTTGACCGAAGGAATAGAGTCACATGTGTCTTTCTAGCTTCTCTGCTTTTGGAAGCGATCACATATATAGATCCTCTTCTCTTGCCATTCTAATTTTATCTGTGCTTTAGTCATGAAACCATTTTTTAAACATTTCTGTTACATGAATGGAAAATATAGGCACGGGTCTCATACACAGAGCTCATTTTAAAGTATAATACCAGGCAGCTTTTGATATTTCATGGTTAATTGTTGTAATTGCCACAAAATCAAATTACCCAACATACATCAGCAGTTTCCAAAAACCACACACCACGGATCCAGCTCAATTCTGCCTCTCTAATTGGGAAACAATTAGAAGGACAGTGTTCTTTTAATGAAAAGAAAGGCAATTGGAAGTTAAAAAGAACAAATATAACAAACTTTGACCCTAAAAGAGTCTGCATAGAAACACAGAGGGTAGGAGGGGAGAACAAAGACTCTTTCTGTAACTTCTCTCTTGTTTTAAATGATTTTATTAATTACAGACTTTTATTTATTACCACTCCTTGTCCTGTGGGCGAAAATCTGAATTCACTTTAACATTGAGGTCTAAAACCACACTGGCCACTTCTCTGACTTAACATTTACATGCGTAAACATTTGGGGCAAATAAGAAACAGCTGTAGTCCACCCGACTTTCCATCAGATGCCAATTAACCTCTCAACTATGTTGTTTGTCACTGTGGCTTAGAAGAGACAGAGGATGTCAGGTTAATGTTGGTTCCTAAATTTTTTCCCCATTAGTGTAGGAAATGAGGACTAGGTATCTGAAGTAGGTAGCCCAGGCTTTTTTCTCTTCCACAAAGTTTGGTCAATGAGCACCTGCCACAGAGAAGTTACATTTTTAAGACACAAAGAATAGCAACAAATGACAAAAAGAGAAAAACAAATCACCCTGCAGATGGAATAATGCCTATAGTTTGCCTTTAGATCTCAGGTAATTGTCTAGGACCCACATCACACCCTGAAGGTGACTGCACGGCTCTTTATCCATAGATGTCAAGGTCATGGTTGGACCAAGGCCAATTTGAGAACCAAAGACAGTGGTAGCTTCCTAATTTCTATATTGGAAGCACTGAAGAAACAATCTTACTGGGAGAAATGGGTACTTAATTTGCATTTGCATGACACAACAGGATGAGCAAATCTCAGCTGTCTAAACTAAAGAGTGGGTGGGCCCTGGTGGAATCTATGTAGGAGGTAAGCCCACCCCACACTTACCATCTCCTCTAGCTTTCTATAGAATGTTCACCTTGAAACCTGGCCCCGTTTTGCTAATTCTTCAGTCCTAATTCCTTCAAGCAGAACTTTTCCAAGGTGCTTTTCAATCTTTAGGTAAACCCCATTTCCCTGTCTCTCAATTCCTTGACTATGCCCACAGCACTGTTGCTGGTTTTCATTTCTGTGAACCTCAAAGCACAGGAAACTATTGGCTAGTCAACTTGTTGGCCACACCCCTGAAAAAACCCCTATCTGATTTCCCTTCCTAAGGCCAACATGATCTGGCCTCTGTTACCTCTCTGATGTATTTACCCCCTACTCACTCCCCTTCGACCACACAGGGCCCCTTGCTCCCTCTCATGGCCCTCTGCCCTTCCATCCCCTCTGCTGGAAGGCTCTCCCCCAGACAGATGCCTGGCTCATTTTCTTGTTTCTTTCAGGTCTTTACTCAAATGCCACATCCCAGGGAACTGGCCACCCTATTTAAAATGCCACATACCCCAAACCAATACTTAAAATAGTAAACCTAAGAACTAAAAATAAAATCAGTACCACATGAGAATACAGCCATCTCTGATAACTGTGCTCTATCTGATGGTGACCTGGCTCTCTCTCATGTTGACTGCTTGACCACTCGAAGTCTTCAGGCCCATACTGACTGTGTAATGTTCCCACTTTCTGTCACAAGCCTAGAGCTGATGACAGATACTTCATCGTTCTCCTCTTACCAGCACTACACAGAAAAGGTGAAAATCAGGTTAGCTAATGCTATTGACTGAATGCTTGTGCCTCCTCCCCAAAGCAAATCATATGTTGTAACCTAATCCCCAATGCGATGGTATTTGAAGAGGGAGCCTTTGGGAGTAATAAGAGTGGAGCCTTCATAATGGGATTAGTGCCCTTATAAGAAGAGATATGACCTCTCAGTCTACCACGTGAAGATATAATGAGAAGGCAGCCATCTGCAAATCAGAAAGTAGGCGCTCACTATATACCGGATCTGCCATCACCTTGATTTTAGACTTTCCAGCCTCCAGTACTGTGAGAAATAACTATTTTATTGTTAAGCCATTCATTCTATGGTCTATTTGTTATAGTAGCCTGAACCAACTGTGTTTCTGATAGGTAGACCTCTCTATGAAGTATGTGTGTTTTACCAGCAAATTTAAACTTCATCTTGAAGCATCACCTTGTAGCTCACCAAACCAGGTTTAGGTAAACCTGCTGTAGTAGCACACCCTCTCCTCCTCCCTTCCTCATCAAGACTCCTCATGTCTCTCTGTATATGGCCTAAGATAGGGCTACATATTTTTCCTCAATTGAAGAGTCAATTGTATTAACATCATTTATGGAACATTCATCTTGCTCTTCCATTAGAAATGCCATTTTTACTGTAAACCAAATTTTAACATCTACATGAATTTGTTTCTAAATTCTCTATGAGGTTCTATTGAACTATTTATCCCTGTGTTGAGTCCATACTCAATTAATACAGATTCAAGAGATATTTTGATATCTTGGAAGACAACTTACTTCCATAATTATTCATTTTTTAAAACCATTTGTCTCAATAAGAACTTTAGATTCGGTCTCTCAATCTTCAGAAAAAAATCCTGTTGGAATTCTGATTGCAATCGCAGTGAATTTATAGACTGGTTTTGGAGAAATGGTAAATTTATAATGTCGAGTTGGGAAACACATTATGCCTCCCCATATAGGTCTTCTTTTATAAACTCTAATAAGGTTTTACATGTTTGAATGCAGCTCCACAGTTAATTTCTTCTGTTTTTTTCTTGGAGTACCTTCAAATCATTCTAGCAGTCACAGCTGTATTCCCCTGCATGTATCTGTTTCTGCATTCTATCTTTCTG